GTGTTAACAGGACAATATGACAGTACTCCTGCAAAATCTCATGCTCACAGTGGAGCAGTTACACAACAGCAAAAACAACTGAACTTAATCCACATGTTTTTCAATATTCCATGGACACAGACTGTACTATTTTGAAAATTCACAGCAACCATTTCAGAGTCCATAGAACCCAACCATGCCCAGGCAGTTCCATGCTTTAAAGAATGAAGATTCAGCACAATTATTTTTACAGAAGTAGTCCTAGTTTCAGTCATTAAAAGCAACCATTTCGTTCTACCAGTATACACTTACAGTCAACAGTGATCAGCTTGCTGTTATTTAGTACATCAGCAAGTCTAATTAGATAAGTCTTGTCATTTCATAGATGACTTGGAAATCAGTTTCATAAATTAGACAAACATGGACACGTTAATTCATATTTACCTTATAAATGAAGTACAATCACTGGAATGTTTTGCTTTTCTATATTTGTTTATAAAGACTTAAGTGAGAATACTGTACCTATGGTATTACAAACAAGCTAACGAATTAATTACTTGTGTCCAAAAATGTCAGTTAGAAGCCTCTTTTTTTAAAGAAGCACAATAAACATTTTAATGAGTGCTGTCATAAGAACAACTGAGTTGAGTCACTTGTGGTTTATAGTCACATCACAATTACTAGATTCCAGATTGCGGTATTTCTGTTCTACGAGCTCTGGCATTTATTATCACAACCTTTGATGAATGCACAGAATCTTCGAGCCAGAAAATGATCCCATGGAACTGTTCTGCCTCTTTCAAACGTCTCACCAGCATTCAAGTGGGAGCACACTCCAATCATTCAGTGTGCATTTTATGAACAGTGACAGTGCTGGCTGACGCTACTGCCAAGCCAATTAATTGTTTAGCTGCTGCCAGAAACACACAGTTCAACTCCCATCCCCTTCTGCCTAGCCTGCACCCACCACATCTCCAAGGGATGCAGTAATCTTCAAACAGGCCTCATTTCAGCTCTTACTTCTCCTCAAGCAATCTTAATTGTTATTAATTTTCAACTTACGTTTGCTTTTACTTCACTGTCATATATGAGACTTTCCCAAAGGCCGTGGAATTCAGCTGGAAAAGCAATATATTATATACTTGCTTAGGATAAATCAGCCTGGGAACTTGTAGCCTATCATTGCAGCACAAAGCAGTTTTCAAATTATTCTCAACTAAAAATAGATAAATGAGAGCAATCAAAATATCTGTAAAAAAAATCATGAGTTATTTTTCTCAAAATGCAAACACTACTTCCTAACAGACAAATTCAGCAGTTTCTCAAATTGCTCAAATCCATCAAATAATTGTGTTGAGAAATTAATGTTGATTTCTTAACATGAAAGGACAAATATAATTCTTTCCACCCTCAAGAGGCGGTGGACCTACATTTCTCCAAGACAGAGAGCTAGGAGAAGTTGGGGTGGGAGGAGGGTTCTAAGGCAATTTTTATTATTCAGCTTTGCCTTTTTTATTTTTTTTTTTAAATTAACATCAAGATGTAGAGGACCAAAAAAAGCATGTGGCTGAATAATGCACAAAAAACTGAAGTTGTCATTTGGGTATCATTCATTCCTAGCAGTTAGTTTCTTACTTTCAGCAAACAAAAGCAGAAAAGACTGAGCAACTATAAACCACAATAATGTAGGAATAATGTCAATGTATCAGATTGAATTCTTTCTGAAAATAAATGTAATAGATAGTTAGGCATTTTGAAACATGGAGAAAGTAGGAAACACTTCAGAATAACTGTTTGTTTGAGCTTAAGCTCACACCTGTGCTTCTCCTTCCAGGCACAGAATCCAACTTCCCCAAGCTCAAGATAGTAACAGGCAGGTCGTGCTCTATTGCAGAGCAAAGCCTTATTTTTCTCTTCAGAAAACATTCTGAGGACTCTAGATCTCTTTGTTTGTCTGTTTCAGATATAAAAACGACACTGCCTTGGGGGCTGGAAGCCAGCAGTGAGATCTGGAAAATGAGTATTTAAAGTGATGAGTTTCCTGTGGGTCTTCAAGTCAAAATTTGGAATGCAGCTTGTAGGATTAAAAACTTCAATGCTTCTGATTATGCCTATACATTTTAGACCACAAGACCAGTTATTTCCACACATCCATGAGTATTATAGAAATAAATGACGTGTTTTGGAACCACTGTAGCAGTTCAGTCAAAACCATAAAGAAAAATGTCCAAATATATTGGTTCCACAGACAAAGGGCAAAGTTAAACAATATATACAAATAATACCTTTAACAGATAACCCTATAAACCCTTCTAGCCTTTCTAAGGTTTTCTTTCATTGTAATTGCTCTAGACCTTCCAGAAATATCCCATGGGTACCTGCTGGCAGCACCCAGTGGTGAGCTGCAGTGATATCCTCATTTTCTTCTTCCAGGTTCTCAGAGGTTGGTCCTTCTTCATTCAGATGAAAAATATGCAGAGAAAGACTGCTTTTGCTCAAGTCAATAGGCTAGAATGAACATGAAAAGACTTCTAATGCATCATATTTCTCATTCAAAGCTAATTATAACAAAAGACAGCTACAGTTTTCAGCTGGCATTCATCTCTGAAGCCTACTATTTCTGTTTCAGACATTACTAAGCAGTGTAGGCCCAAAAAATTAGCCATGTTTTCCTGGTTATATTAGTCAGCCTAATAAGAGATATTATGTCATCCTATAGACCTTGTCTTGCTTATGTCCTTAGGCCACCACCAGTCTACCTACAACTAGTTCACAGGCATATGAACAGAGCTGTACATTCTTGACTGCAAATACCTGTCTGTCTTTCAGCTTCAGCTCCGTATCCACAATCGACACAGACTGCACATTGTTCTTAAGGAAACTGTCATCAAACTCTGTCCACTTGTAATCACCAAACACAATGGTATGTCTGTTCAACAGCTTTAGGACACTCATCCTAATATCTTCTTTCTTGGCCACACTAACGAGAAAGGAACACCATTACTACATGGCATTGACATTTATAAGGAAATATGAATTAGTGTCAGAGTGCATTATTTCATACACTAAGTCTTCATGGAAAACAGATTCCATCTCACACCCACAAAACCAACAAAACAACCAAAAAAAACCCAATACAAAAAAACCCACTTAACTCCCCCATGACATTCTGCAGGAAAAAAGAAAAAACCCTATCAAATTCAGTCTGTTTGCAAAAGCAACAAACTTGATACTTGTTTTTAATTTGTGCACTAAAAGACACAATCCAAAGAATACTATTTGCTCTGTTTGAGATCATATCAGGGGACACAGAATGACACAGCTAGAAGACTTCAAGAATGGAAATCAGTTATGCAATCTGATTGTGTTTCAGCAGAAAAAACAGAAAAACTCATAGCCAAGCTACTAGACTGAATGTGGTAAGATTAGCTTGGAAGCTCCATTATACTTTCAAGTCTGAGGGCAGCTGGTACCTCGGACATACTATAAGCAGAATTCCAGTAGAAGAGAAAAAAGCTACAGGAAAAGGAATGCCATTTGAAGATTTCAGAAAGGCTTTAACTTAGTCTTGCAATTTCAGTGAGGTATAACCAGTGCAAATTCCAACTTCCTTGTTTTTTAAGCCTGACAAAGAGAGAGCTGTGGATATTTTACAACTTGATTTTTGCAACAACTTGGACACGCTCTCCTATTGTATTCAGATAGCCAGACTGTTAAGATAAGGACTGGATAAATGGACAGTGAGGTGGTTGGACTGTTCAGCTCAGAGGGTTGTGATTATTAGTACAAAGACTAAGCAGAGCTGCCAATAACTCAGGCTGGAAGAGGTGGGGGGGTACTGTTAACACTGGTTTTACACCCTCATTTACACCTTTGACAATGGAATGGAAAGCAATTGCAGCAAGTTTATGGATAACACCAAAGCAGGGAGACTGTCAGTACTCTAGAGAGCAGGGCTGCCATTCAGAGGGACCTCTGCAGGTTGGAGATATAGTTTGACAGGAACTTCTTGAGGTTCAACAAAAGTAAACATGAAATCCTATCTCTCCATTCACTGCTCAGATAACAGAACAGAGCAGAGGTCAACCTGATGAAGAGTAGTTTTGTAGAAAAGGGCCTGGGGTACTGCTGGACAAAATGGCAGTGAGCGAGCAGTGTGCCCCTGCTACAAATAAGGTCAACCTTATTTTAGGCTGTGCTACCAAGAGTGTCAACATTAGGGAAAGCGATTCTTTCCATCCACTGCCTTTGTGGGACCACATCTGGAGTACTGCGTGCAGTTTCAAGCTCTGCCATAAGAGAGACAAGGATAAACCAGAGCAAGTCCCGAATGTGGCCACCAACTTGATTATCAGACGAAATTGAGAGAAATGGATTTGTTCAATCTTAGGAAGAGACACTTGCGTGGAAACTCATGGGAGAGCACAGAGATGGCAGAGCAGAGTCCTGTGGGCTCCTGAGGGTGCACAGCAGGAGGCCAAAAGGAAACAGACACAAGTTACAGAAAGTTACATGGTGATCACAGAGACCTGCTCGATTTCTGATGAACTTCCACATGGATCTGAACGTTGTCACACACGTTTGGGAGCGCTTGCTTCAGCTCCCCTGCGGCATCATCCATCCTTCTCGCTCCTAGGGGAAAAACGATACCAAGGAGAAGCAATTCCCAGGGTCTGCTATACGCCCAGGGCACAGCCAGTCCTTTCCCGGTGCCCCGTCCGCATGCACCTCGCCCACGGCAAGGATCGGGATCGGCACTTCCCTCCCTCAGGAGATGGCGACGTCAGCCTCGGGATACGCCGCGAGCGCGGCCGGGCCGCTCCTGCCCTCAACGCTGGACACAGGGAATCACCTCACGGCAGGCACGGTCTCGGGAGAGACGCGCCAGCGCAGCGGGAAGGAGCCCGGGAGCGCGGGACGAACCCGAGGCAGCACACTGCGGCCGCCACTCGTTCGTAAAGGGCGCGCTGAGCGGGGCAGGGCGGGTCGGCTCCTCACCCGGATCTTCCTCCGCCCGGGGTGGGAGGGTCCGCCCGTCCCGGCGCTTCCGGCGGGGCTGGTTCAGGCTCCGGCGCTGGCTCTGCCATGGGGAAGAAGCACAAGAAGCACAAAGCGGAGAAGGCAGAATGGCGCTCGACCTCCGCCACCGCCTACAGCGGTAAGCGCCGGGGGAGACCCTCTTTGTGCCCGGGACGCGCCCGCCCCTCCCTCCGCCCCGGCTGTCGGCGGGACCCGGCATCGCTGCAGGGCTGGGGGGCTCACAGGGACAGGCCCTGGTTTAAGTGCCGGGGCTGCCGGCGACGGGGGCGGCCTGGGGAACGCGGAACGAGGGGTGGGTTGTGAGCCCGGCCGTCTCCGTGGTTCCTGCGGCTGTTCCTGGTGGGATCCGGTCTCTGCGGTGCTCGAGTGATGCTTAATTTCACCTTGCTCTGACAAGGACCTTGCAACGTTTTCAGGGAAAGCCGAGGATTCGGTTTCTTCCGTGTTACGGATTTGTGGAAAATCACAACGTAACGACTGTCTATTAGTTTGGATTTATGAGTCTTAGGTATTGTTTTCTTTCCAAATGTATTGTGTATATTTTTGACGTGCAGCAAATTCTTACAAACAGTATTTCTAGAAGCAGCTTCGGAGCTGAGGGTCTTTAGCCTGAAGAACAGGAGGCTCCAGCATGACCCTACCACTCTGTGCAAACACCTGAAAAGAAGTTGTAGCCAGGTGGGAGTTGGGCTCTTCTCCCAGGGAACTAGTGATAGGATGAGAGGACAAAGCCTCAAGCTGCAGCGGGGGGAGGTTCGGGTTGGACATTAGGAAGAATTTCTTTGGAAGAAAAGTGGTTATATATTGGAATGGGCTGCCCAGGGATGTAGTGGAGCCACTATCCCCAGAGGTGTTTAAGGAAAAACTGGATGTGGCACTCAGTGCCATGATCTCGTTGACATTGTGTTGTTCAGTGATAGATTGGACTCAATGACTTCAGAGGTATTTTCCAACCGAATTGGTTCTGTGATTGTGTAATTGCTGTGTGCTATCATCTCTCTGTGCATTTATGAAATGTTGGGGGGTTTTTTTTGTTTTTTTTTGTTTTTTTTTTTTTAATTTAGATTATGTGGATAAACCTTTGGAAAAACCCTTAAAGCTGGTGCTTAAAGTTGGAGGAAGCGAAGTGACCGAACTCTCCGGGTCAGGGCATGATTCCAGTTACTATGATGACAGATCAGATCATGAGCGAGAACGACATAAAGAAAAGAAGAAAAAAAAGAAAAAAAAGTCTGAGAAGGAAAAAGAAAAGCATCTAGATGATGAAGAAAGAAGAAAAAGAAAGGTAAGCTGAGAGTTTTAGAATTCAGGCACAGCAGCCACCATGCTTGCTTATCAGATCTAATATCTGGTGCAGAGTACCAGAGCTTTTTTTTGTTTGTTTCAGTCACTATTCCAAGAAGCCTACTGTCTGAACTCAGCACCTCATAAATTTAGAAAACCTTTGTGTGTGTATTGGTGTATTTTTACCATTTAAAGGAGGTATATACTTGTGATGATTCTATGAACAAAGTAAAAGCTTCCTTCTTGTAACTGCTCATTTTTCTTATTTATTTGCTTTGAATGAATACTTCCATTTTTAAGTTGGATGTTTTGTATTTCAGACAGGTCACAATCATGTTTTGCTACCCTTTCAGGGGGGGTATTTTCAGCTTTTCAAATAAATCTTGGTTGCATTTCTCTTCCTGAGATATGCCAAGTTACTGGACATTGAAATTGATATGTTTACTCAAAACAGCTTTCTGAGATCTGATCTGTTGAGTACTGTGGTACAATAGTTAGATTGGCTCTTAGAATAACCTTCATGCAAGGCTTTGTGACTTTGCTAGTAGCAAATGGTGTGGTCACCTTAGATGTCTGTGTTGAACCTTAAGGAGTTTGATTAAAATCAGCAAGAAGGCATTGACAGTACAGTTACTTGTACAATTTAATTTTAATAGTATTTCTTTTGTGTACTAATGATTCTTTGACCTCTCTGCTTTTTTAGTTCTTTTTTTGTTATGTAGTTTTGCTCATATCATGATTTTTTTGGTGCTACTGTGTATGGGTTTGTGGCTAACATCTGTCATTTCCAATTGATTTGTTAGACTCAATTGCTTGAAAGTGACATATCTCATAGGATCGTTAGAAGCTCTTGAATACAGCATAGACAGTGCAAAATATTCTTCGTACAAATGTTTCAGTTAAGAGTATGGCTGGGATTTGAAATATAGCAAAACAGCTGTCCTTCATACAAGGTATTGCATCATCAATTGCCTTTACTAAGTTACAGTGTGGGGATTGTTTGGATTTTTTTCCCAGAACTTCATTGTTGGTGCATTCAAAATAAGCTAACAGATAGTTAAGAAGCAAAACAGCAGACTAAACAAGGCTAATGAAAATATGCTTTTCTGTGAAAACATGGATAATGACTGCAAGATTATAGGAATGATTTAGGCTTGCCTTTGCTGTGAAGCTCAGGAAGAGGTCATTAATTGCCACCACTGTTACAGAGCAGTCCTTGTGGTTCTTTTGTGGGCTTTGTGAATTATCATATACTTTACTCATTCCTGTTAAATGCACCAAACAAAAGTACACTGATCAAAGCAGAGCTCCAGACTAATCTTTACTGAATAGTAAATTAACTTCCTTTGCTCTCTAGTGTAGCTTGTTATCATGAAATTTTACATATAAATAGTTTCAGAGTTCAACATTCTTTTCCATGTTAAATACAAAGTAGCAAAAGATGAACAGTTTAGTTTTAATTGGAGAAGAAAATTGAAAAAGTGATAGTGAAAATATATGCAGTGTTGTTTGAACCATATTAGGACTAAGATATAGAATGATTATTCCAAATGAAAGAAATCGCTGTCTCTTTTCTTTTGGTGTGTGGGATTGCACATTCCAAGTATGTTCTTCTAAAAGATGTCTTCTTCCTGCTGTGCTAGGAAGAGAAAAAGAGGAAAAGGGAGAAAGAACAATGTGACACTGAAGGAGAAACTGATGACTTTGATCCTGGGAAAAAAGTAGAGGTTGAACCTCCTCCAGATCGTCCTGTCAGAGCATGCAGAACTCAGCCAGGTGAGCAGCGTGAGGAATTAAATCATTTTGGTTGTTTTTAAAAGCACGCACAACAGTTTTGTCAAAGGTACCAAAATGTAAAATTTTCGTGAAGATTTGCTGAAATCTAGAGACTTCACTTGCTTCAGCATTTAGAACTTTGCATTATCTGAAAAGTCAATATTCCTCATGGTGCTTACAGATTTTAGTAGGTTTGTTTTCAGGTGACTGAAGTTGCCAAGGACATCTGTCTCTGACTTCTATTACTTGGCAGAATAAAGCTAGCATAAAAGTATTATTGTGCACAGTGTTCCCCTAATGCCTTATCCTTAGCATTTACTGAACAGTGATCAGGATGTCTGAATTTTCAGTTTTCCTTAGTTCAAGGCAAAAAAAAAAAATCTTGTGAAGACTGCTTAGTTGTTGTTACAGTCTTTTTTTTAATAACATATGTTGAGTTTTAGTATCTATTTTCATTAACAGGAAGTTGTGATAGGGTGTCTCTAAAGACCATAGTCTTTAGACTAAGACACCACCCCCACCACCCTATTTTTCCTTTACCAATCTTTAATTCTTGTCACCAACCAAAATATTTATGAACTGTGTGTGGCAACTTCTGTGTGTTTATTCATTTCAGATTTTGTCATGCTTTTTCTACCTGTAGCCATTGCTCGATAGTTAAAACTCAACATTATGCAGTGGAAACTTTTACTTAAGAGAATTTTCAAATACATCATGATCTCAGTTACACATATGCTTGAAAGTGGAACCTGGTAGCAAATAGCTGTGTCTTTAGGAATATTGTGTGTCTTGTCTTTGGAACACTGCCCTTTGACTGATCATTGAGGAGTTTTCTAATTATGACTGGGCATTAAATTAAGGAATGTTGGCCATCAACTGTCAAGGTAACTGAAATTTTCTGGTCAGAGTTTTATGTCTCAGGGTAGTCAGGAACCTTGGAAAACTGACAGGCTAAAAACTAGTCTCTTTATTATATTTTCATCTGCTTGTAAAATGATATTTCAAAGCATATAAATTACCTTACCTATTCCAGTTAAGAAGGGAAATGTCGCTCCAATATCATGGTGAAGAGTTGGAGTTTTAATTCTAGATTTCAGCATGCTGCTTGTTTAGTGTTTCAAACTTCGCATTAAAGGCAACCTCTCTGAACTATGGAACAAGTAATTAACGAGTAGTATTAATGGTGTAATTTGTACCTGTGCAGGAAGTGAAATTGTAATCAGTACCTCATGTACCAGCAAATCTGCATCTGTTTGTCACTCAGTGATTGAAAGGTTCAGAGAAGCTAATTGCATGGGGTTAATGGTAAAGAAACCATTAAAATTGCACTGATAACATGTTGTAAGAATGTGGATTTCCCAATTGCATGATTTCAGCAACCAAGTTTCACTTTTCTTTTCCTGTAAAAATATATAACATCTTATTTTAATCTTATTAATATATATTCTTAGAGCTACTAGACTTAGCATTACATCTGACTTAATGTCTATTAGTTTTTAATGTGATGAAAGCTCAGAAAACAGTAAAGGAGAAGAAATAGGGACTGTATGCTTCTGCTTTGAAATGTATGTCACGCTGAGCTTCAGATATACAAGCTGTACTTGTAGTTAAGATGTTCTCTCTGGTATTTATGTTTTTAAATAAATAAATATACCTGTATTCTGTTTCCTTGGACTTATCTGTGTTTTCATCTCAAAATGCAGCTGAAAACGAGAGCACACCGATCCAGCAATTACTAGAACACTTCCTTCGGCAGCTTCAAAGGTATAAACTGTATTGTACGTTCAGCTGTGTCGACAGCGTCTAATGCATATTTATATGTGTTACTTTACAACTTCTTCTCCTGGTTTTATGTTTGAAAATAGTGCCTGAAGACTGACTGTAGTATATCTGTTAACCTTTGCAATCATGCCAGACCTGGTGGTTTTTAAAGATTAGTTTGGGAAAACTATTACCAACTTGACAATTCTAGCATTTAGCAGGGAAGTAAGTGTTTTGGGCCAGTGTAATTGCCACTTTAAATTTATTAAATACTGATGATTTAATTTAGGGATTAAAACCCAGTTATGATTCTGTAATGCTTTAAAAGATTGAACTGTTTTAATTTAATTATGTTTATTTCTGTGTCCCCTGTCAGATACAAAATAAATTTATACCTGCTTACTTGATAATCCCCTTGATTTGGAGAGGCTTTTTATTTTATTGTTTTCAATAAGATCTTAAGCCTGTACCTCATGTTAAAAAAAAATCCTTTTTATTACATAGCAATAAGCTGAATTGGGAACTAGTTCAAAAATATTAAACATTGTATTTATTTTTAGAGGACCTTATGAACAAGAAGAATTGGGTTTTTTTTACTCAGTGAAGCCAAAAGACCAATTTGGAGTGTAGAGATGTAGAAAACATACAAAAATTAATTAAAAATACAAGAACTAGCTTAAGTTGATCATTTGAGCATTGAATTGAAAGACTTTTTTTAATGTGTTTCAAAAAGTCTACAAAGGTATAATCAAAATGCTTTAATTTACCAAGAAATTTGTCAAACATGCTTCTGTTTTATGAGAATGCTTTTGGTGTTTTTTTGTTTTATAAGTACTACCATTATGTCATTATTGTGGTATAAAAACAAGAACTGTTCTGTTTGCTGCTATAAATCTAAATGTATTGTTTTTATTTTTAGGAAAGATCCTCATGGGTTTTTTGCTTTTCCAGTCACGGATGCCATCGCTCCTGGATATTCCATGATAATAAAACACCCTATGGATTTTGGTACGATGAAGGAAAAAATTGCAGCAAATGAATACAAATCAGTCACTGAATTCAAGGTGAATTAATAAAGATGTAGATATTTCAGAACTAATAAGAAACTGAAGATTCTTTTTAACTGTGGAAGCTTTTCTGACATTAATTAATGTGCATTTTGTTCAGAACTGAGCACTTTTGTGTATTCAGTGTGTTATGAATACTCTGTATTTGTCAGATTCTACTACAGTCTACTACAAATTACTGTGGATACAAAAAACATGTTCTAAAGTTCTATGGAAAGCATGCTGCTAAACTTAAACAGGAGTGAGGCTATCATGAAATCTTAAGTGGTTGAAGAACCTGGAGCTCTTTTTTTCGTCTCCTTGCCTCTCCTTTTTCATTTTTTTTTTAATCTAGACCTGGTTAGATTGATTAAAATGTAATTTTGACTTGTCTGCAAGAGAACTATGGATATACTGAAACTTCTTGTGTAAGAGTCAATAACAACTACGTATTTTTTATCTTTAATTGTCTTATTTCCATATGGCTTCATTTGAAATGGCAGAAAGTTACTTGGCAAGTTTATTGGCAACTTGCCATAGCTAATTTATGTATTGCTATTGTTGTAATCCTTTATTAGATGCATCGTGGTCTTACAGAGAGTGCAGTAAGAAATCTTTTCGTGATATCGCCAGCTCCTGGAAGGAAAGGAGTTTTCCTTAACTGATCCATGAAGTTCTATTAGCTGCCTTCAGAATTACTGTTTCCTAGAGTGGTGTTGATGTAATAATAAACTTGACAGAGAGCATTGGCTTGCTTCTCAGGGTTAATCTCTTCTCTTGAAAGGTCCAGCAAGGTGAACAAAGAATGGCTTAGATTTCTTACAAGTGCTTTGACAAAGATTATTCTGTTTTGTTAGGTATGCTACAGAGATTTGTAGGAAATAGTAAAAAAGTATTTATAATAACCTTGCCATCAGCAGTGCCTTCAGGTCTCTAAATTCTGGCTTGCTGGACTGTCTTATTCAACTACTTAAAAAGGGAAGTTTGAGAGCATCTTGAAGAAACAAAAAAGGCTCGTTTGCATTTCTGTGTTACTTTCTGGCTTGCATTTACTCCATGAATTTGCTGCTAAAATATTACTGTGTTCATCACAGAGCTACCATGGTGGAATGGTATCTTCCAGTCATTTAATAAAGGACTTAGAATTTCTAACAGTTCTTTTGTCTTGTATTTTACAGGCAGATTTTAAACTGATGTGTGATAATGCAATGACTTACAACAGACCAGATACTGTTTACTACAAGCTAGCCAAGAAGATACTGCACACAGGCTTTAAGATGATGAGCAAAGTAAGAGACCTATTAAAAACAGAAAACAGTTGGGTTTTTTTTGTTGTTGTTATCATACTTAAAAGGAACATAATTAGTGACAATGATAAATGTTATTTCATCTTTCTATGTTTAACCATAGCAGTGCCTGTTAGTGCTGCTATATTTAAGGGCTTGATAGCATTCTTATTATAACTCAGTAATTTTTATTTATTTCTCAACTATATCTGCACTGCAGAAGTCTGTAGGAGTTTCTTCCCCTGGCCTCAGTGGAAGCAATTAAGATTCACATCTATAAAACCCTATTGTCAAATATTGCTTCTGGGTGAAACTTCAAAAACAAGATCTCATTTAAGTTTTACTTCTGCATAAACAAGAAAACTCTACTTTTTTCAAGGTGTTGGGTGTGGGGGAATTTTCAGGTGTGTTGCAAATACGCTTTTTACTCAAATAGAGTTGTTGGCTTTTAAAATGAAGTTTTGGTGAGCTGCTCTGTGTGCACATGTTGTGTGTGTGTGTGCATGTGTTACAGTGATGGTAAGTTTTGTGTAAAATAGTTGGTTTTGTATATGCAGTTTGTTTGTTTGTTTGTTTCTCTCTTGATAGTTGGGCTGCAGAAATTCTGATGCCATGCTACCATGACCAAATCATGTTGCATCGCCATTGGAAACGAGACATTAAGAACAAAATAAGGCCATGGCCATTCCCATCCCATCCCATTATCATAGCATCTTGGCTATGAGGGAAAGGTTAAGTCCCTGCCGCTCTGTCCTTTCTGATTCTAGGAACGGCTGTTAGCTTTGAAGCGCAGCATGTCGTTTATGCAGGACATGGATTTTTCTCAGCAGGCAGCTCTTCTGGGTGATGAAGATACAGCAGTTGAAGAACCTGTCCCTGAAGTCGTTCCTGTACAAGCAGAGACTACCAAGAAATCCAAAAAGCAAAATAAAGAAGTTATTAGGTAAAGGTTTTAATGGGCATGCCTACTGCTTTGTTGCAGCTTTTGTAATATTAGACAGCAGCAAAGAAGTGAGGAAAAAACCCTCTTTTCAGCCTTTTTTGCTGAGGTCCATAGGATAAATGGACAATTTTATTGTATTTTGTTTGCTTGTTTATTTATAGAACTTGTTTAATAACCCAGTGATTCCCAACTTGAAACAAACAATTCAGAAGATGACTGCATATTCTTTTAAACACTTACAGTTAATGTCTATATAGATATTTTTATTATTCTTTATAGTAAGTAATGAGTAGTTTCTTCTCATGATGTTAAGAAATATTACTTTATTTTGAATATAGCCACAAGTACCTTTTGCATTTTGTCCCTTTTTTCTCCTTTCCTAAAATGGATGACTGTATCAAAATGTAACAGGATCTTTCTGGGAGGGCAAAGTGGTCCCAGATCAGTGAATGATTTTATTTAACTTTAACCTTATCTGGCATGATGTGTAGATACAGGAGATTGTTTCTGGAGCAGATGATAACATCTCCCCAGTGAAATCTTATTAAGTTCTTTATAAAATACATTACTAGTGCAATAGTAATCTTCCAACTAATAGGCACCCCCATTTCACAAAGCCATGTTTTTATAACAGCTAAAATCCAATTTTAGTAAAATTTTTTGAATGTAAATGTAGTTAAGTTATTTTATGAGAGATTAGCAGAAACCGTAATTTACAAACAACTTGTGTTCAGTGTTCTTGCATAAACATCCAAAGACAGATGTTGAATTTAAATTGTAGAGTATTATCTCAGCTGCAATTTTAAGAAAGAAAACCTATAACAAAGCATCACTAGTTATGTCTTAAATAATCTGATCATGTGGATGTGTTCTGCAGGCTTCTTTCCTAAACCTTCAAAGTAAAAAAGGTGAAATGTCTTGTCGCATTTTTTTTAAAAGTGAACTTTAGGGTTCTAATCAGCCAGATCTTTTATTTTCTTTTACCCTTCAAGCATTTTTGTAGTCCTCTTTAATGTCTGATAAAAGAAGTGGTATTTTAATGTAGTTGTTCTGTGGAAATAGAAGACTGCAACATGTGTCTTCAAAAAAAATTTTAAACAGTAATTTTTTTAGTGGAAACTATTCTATTGACAGCATACAGAAACATACCTGTTGCTTTATAATGGAGAACTAACAAAATGTCATTTGCTCCTTCTTTTTTGAATTGTATATAGAAATCAACTGAAAGCACCTTTTTGAGGGGGAGGTAGTTTGGGTTTTGGTTCTTTGTTTTTTTTAGGAGATACATAATTTGTTTTGTATGGTGCCCAGGATTAATTCTTGCATAAACTCTGCTACAGGAGTATTTTCGTACTTTGCCAAAGAGCAAGCAAATGGCACTGCCAATCCATGTAGTACTGCTCTGTCTTTGATATGTACCTTAACATACAATTCACATAGTTAAAAATAACTGACCTTTGATTTTATTTGGGTACCGGTTTCTTTGCAATGAGTTTGTGGTATGGATTTACCTTAATTTACCTTCCTATTGTTTTCAATGTTTATGCAACTTTAGTCGTTGGAATGAATTTGTTTTTTCTAGTTAACTTGACCTTTTAAACACTTGTATTTTTGCATCAGTAAGATTGGTATTATTCTTTTTGATGAACAGTAAGAGCTTTGCGGGGAGAATTGAACCTAATAGTGGATATTTTTGCCTTCATATTTCACAGTTATAAAAAGGGAAAGAGGGAAGTCAGTGCTTGGAAAGTGTTAAAGCAGCTTAGACCTCTATACTGTAGTTTAAAAAGTGACTTCATCACTCAGACATCCTAATGTTTAAGTAGTTTTTGAAAGTTTTGTTCAGGATGTTGCAACCTTCTGAACATTCTCTTAAAATTCTTGTCCTTTAATTATCCTGTAGAGCGTGACAGTAAGTGCCAATTGTTGAGGAGTTTCCTGCTGTGTACACCCTTTCTTAATTTTCAATGACACAAAATTGTATAACACATTTGTCTCATAATAGTATGATCCTGTGATCTTTTTATTGTCTTTAATAGCAAAACTTACTTGTGTATCGGATCTGAATCTCTATACAGAGAGAAATTCTTAGCTAAGCAAATGGAAGAAGATAACCCAGGAGAGAGAAATGGATTTGGTGTGAGGAGATGCTCTACCCAGTACCTAAGGTGTTTGGCCCTAGTGTCTAATGTCCCTATAATGCCCTGAAATATTTTGATGTACCAAGTTTATTTAATATATAAAATATAATGAAGACTGCCATATTCTGTGATATCTTCACGCTTGTCCTTATGATATTACCTTCTTCTGATTTTATGTAATACCTATGTCCTGTTCCATCTTGGAAATGCTTATCTGTTACAATTTTATTTTTCTGGTGCTTTAATGGAAAGGGATCTACTGAAAGATAAATGTTAAATTTAGTAATTTCAATTACAAGGAATGGTGTGATTAATACTGATTAGGAATGCTAATTGCCAATACTAACAAACATAGGAAGTAAAGGACTCCCTGTTAGACTGGGAGCTGTGTCCTACTGCAAGCAACGATATGATAAGCCTGTTGGTTTTTTTCTCTGATTAGTTACATAGTTTCCATCCCTCATCAAGTAATATCTTCTCTGCATCTTTCTGTTTGGAATTTGTGAGAATAGCATATTCATGCATGTGGGAGACTAAAGATGCATATAGCATTCACCCTGTATTAATGCAGTTTTACTCCCAGTCTCTGTTTTGTAATACTTCCTTTTCACCAAGGTACAGAAACTATTACACTTTTGAAATTCAGTAGTTTAGTAGTTCTCAGCTTCTGCTCCAAAACTTCAGTTCATAGTATGATTATGATTCCACTTAAATGCTGAAGTAGACTGACACTGGGAGAGTAGTGGGACTGATTGTTCTATTAGGAAAACCCAGAATTCAGCCCTTTGTTTTGTTTTCGCTTTTAATTTCTACAGCTGTTCCTCTTCTGTTTTGTAGCTGCATTTTTGAACCTGAGGGAAACGCATGCAGCCTGACAGACAGCACTGCTGAAGAGCATGTCCTGGCGCTAGTGGAACATGCGGCAGATGAAGCTCGGGATAGGATCAATCGATATCTACCCAACAGCAAGGTCCACTGCACAGTGCAGTTTGCAATTCCATTTTGTATCTGACTATTGAATGCTTTGATTCATGCTAGGAGACAGGCTTTAGTGTTGTGTTTTCTGGGACTGTAACATCTAGGATGTATGCTCTGTGTGGATTGCCAGTATGGCTGTTGTGTGTCATTTAGTTCCCACTGAAAGCCATTGTAGGGTGTCCTAAATGGATCTCGGGTTATTTTGCGTGTTGAACATCTTTGAAAATTCTCTTGCAGGAAGCAGTGAAATGTTGCTCAGTCTTGAATTGCAGCCCTTAGCATGTGATTAAAATAACATCACATTCTTCTTATTGTTGCAACCTCAGAAAAAGCAAACTATGCATAGGTTGAAGTGTTATTAGGATTCCTCCTTCCCTGCCTCACCCCCCCTCAAGGAATTCAGGAATTTTTAAGTGTTAAATTCCGATGGGAAGTTTTCCATGAGAAGAGTCTGTAACCTCTTGTAGTTTTGTACCTACAAGCAGTAGCTGTCAGCTGTAGCATGAGTACAAAATAGAGACATCCTTCAATAACTGGGATAAGAGAGCAGGTTTGATAGTCCTGAATGCGATTCTGATGTTGTTCCATGTGTTTGGCTTTTGTGCCCTTCCAAGGGTTAGAAGGACAATGATGCCATTGGTGCAGTTTTCTTAGAACGATCTGTTTATGGGCTGTGTGATAGTGGTGGTGGATTCCTTCATTTCTTCATGCTGGGATTGGAGTGAATGCTACAGACATTCACTACAGACCTATATTGAGATACGTTTACTCTGTTTCGGTTGACTCATGTGGACTCTTATTACCACCCTTGTTCTCATTTCTCATCTGTCACTGTAGTGGCCACTGCAATCATTAGGATGTTGCTACATCCTGACTTATCTACCTAATTTTTTAACAACTGTTGCAGAAGAAACTTTGCTTTGAAGCATTAGTGGTGTTGTGTCTTCAAACTTAAATGTCTGTTTCTTGAGCAGTGGCCCTTGTTATGCAATCACCTTAGGCTCAACTGGATTAGGAAGTAAAGCTTCAAAGAATAGTGGGTGAAGGTTTACCTTCAGTATATTTCTGTTTCTTTAGATAATTAGAAGACTTGCTAGGATTGAAGGCTGTTTGAAACCTCCAAATTAACAGTGGCTTTTTAAAAATTCTTTAAAGCAATACCAGTGTTCTGCTAATTACTAGCTTCACTGAAAAGGCCTTTCATGCTGATGCAGTCTGTTTTTGAGAAAGTTGCTCGAGGTGTGCAGCTCTTCATTGTCTAGGCTGTTAATCAGCTGCACAACTCACTCTGTGTCCCAGAGTCTAGGTAACACTGGCATGTTTTTAGAGCTCAGCCATTGTTAACTTTTGCCATTACTTGAAGGTATTTTTTTCCTGATCATTCTCTTTCCAGCATTTCTTACCTCTGTTTTTATTTTATGCCAGCTTTAGCTTTGGCCTCCTGTATAGAGAGAGTTTTAAAGTTTTTCAGAGGGAGGGGAGAAAAAACCAAAATAGGGAGAGATTTATTTTTCAATTTACTTCAAAGTATGTACTAATATTTCTGTAGGGAGAGAATAGTTTTCATTTTCCCCGTTTACTGACAGGTTAGTCTTTTTTTGCCCAATTCATGTGTAGTCAGTTTCTGGCATCAGCTTTGCTTGTTGCATCAGATCTGGCTCTATCTTTACAGACCCTGGTGTACTCTATTGTCTTTCACATGTGTGTTTTGAGCACTGTGCTTGAGTGATTCAATAGGTCTGTCACAGCACTTCTTCCTCTTTAAGAATTTGACTGTGTGTTCATAAAAGTACTTCTAATTAGAGAAAGTTGTGGGTGAGATATGAAAACAAGCAGTTCATTCTAGATTTGAAAATAAGCAGTGACTTAGATTGTGGCTAGGAGTTCTGCTTCTAAAAAGAAAGTGTGTTTTAGATTTAGTAGTCAGAGAGGCTGGCTTCATGCTAATGATAATGGAATTGGGTTTGTTTGGATGAAAACATTAGATCTGATATAGAAAGATGAATAAGGAGTTGCATATATGAACTTCTAAGTCTTCTGTTCTGAAGCATTTGCTAAGTGGTGCTAAATAGCTGTGACCCATAATTCTCTGTATTAAAAAGTGAATACCACAGTGCAGGATCCCAATACAGCTAAAAATGATTTTTATAGTTTTCTCTTAAGGAAGTAACTCCTTCTTTGAATTTTCAACAGTTTTGAATGATCACTTCTGTATCTTTGTGGTTCTGTTCACAGATTGGTTATCTGAAAAAAAATGGAGATGGAACTTTATTATTTAGCGTAGTAAATTCATCTGATCCTGAAGCGGAAGGTAAAAGCAGTCTTGAATGTTCTAGCAGATTTTGAAGTCTTAACTGTACACAAGGATCCTGTGTAGTATAGATGAGTTTTAATTTTTTTTTTTAATTTTTAAACAATTTTTATTATTTTCATTAATTATTTCCCAAACCATTTTCCCAAACACCCCAAAGTTGTTACTCTTTGCCTTCCAAATTTTCACTCTTCAGGTGCTCTGTTTTACTATTTCTAACAGTAAGAAGATAAAATAATATCTCTTTATAAGCACTTCTACATTGCTACAACTTTATAAAGACTTGGAATACAAGCTTTTGCTGCAAGTACAGTTTAGTGTTAAAACCTAATAGTCTGAAGGTGAATGAAAGTGCTGTAATCCTATGTAAATGTGCGATGCACAGAATGAAATTCAGAATAATCTTTTACCTTTTTATTTCCTAATTTAAATCATTAGCTAAATTTCTTGATCTTTTCTGTTGGGTTTTTTTTGTTGTTCTGTTACTACTATATGCTATTTATATTGGCTTATGCTTTTCACTTGTTTTAGTTTCAAGCTCAAAATGCAGAAGTTTTGAAAGTTTGTAATGAATGAAATGTCATAGTCTTTATGCTCCTGTATGGCATGTTGATTTAGCACTTTCTTTGCACCTTTTGAGATTGGAATTTGTTCACAGCTTATCTCTTGTTTCATTGATTAATATAAGAGTGCTTTAGACTAATCACACTGGGAGACACGAGCCTTTAACATTATTATTGTCTCAATTCTTTTTCATTTGGTAGTAAATTTTTCTGGAATGAAATTGAGCATTTTGTCTGCTAACATGCCCTTCCCTATATCTGAAAATAAAAAATTAATAAAATTCATGTGCTTTAATACCTCTGAAATTAGGCCACTGAAAGATTAGACAGTGATGGTAATGGTGTCTGGATTTCTGTAAACGAACTACCACTTCGTCAACATAAGAAACTGCTTTTATCACTTCATAAAATCTGGGTCTTGAATGTTTGTGAATCAGCTAGTATACATCACACGTTGATGTATACTCTAAAAATGAAATAAGTAAGCCATAGATCTTGTCAATTAGACATGGAAACATATTTACAGCATGTGTTTGAAGTTTAAATGGAGAACCTGAATTACAGTACCTATGCTTAATGTATAGATTAAAAAACATTTAGTCTTTGTGTTAATTGCAACATTTTAAAATAGTAAAATCTAAATATTCACCATAAATTGTGTGCATTAAATGCTTTTCTAAGTCTTCTTTTAAATCAAATTATTAGAGGAAGAGACTCATCCAGTGGATCTGAGTTCGCTGTCAAGCAAATTACTGCCTGGCTTCACTACACTGGGCTTTAAAGATGAACGAAGAAATAAAGGTAAATGCCAAAGAACATGTTTTAGCTTTTTGTTTTTTAAATATTTGAGCAATTACCTGAAATAAAATAGTTTCCGTTTCTACCTGTCTTGGTATGAAAGTTTGCTTGGTTATTCTTATAGTGTATAATTATTCCACTGACAGCAGAATGCAGTTTTAAAATGACTTTTCTTCTTATTAAACATCACTTAATTAGGAAGTTTATGGATTAATGTTTTGCCTTAGTGTTACAGCCACACTAGAAGCTTTTCAATAATGGTAGTGTGTTTTTTTGTGGGAGATAATTTTTCCAGACTAACTGTGCTTACAGTTGAGGGTAAAAAACTTTCAGTCACTTGCATTTTTGCATCACGTGACGAGCGTTTCTCAGACTGTGGATTTTTTTTTTTCCTTGTATTATTGATATTTTTAATAGTTTCTAATCTGCTGTCCAGAAACTGACTAGCAACCAACACTAAAGTAGACACACACACAAAAAATAGAAATATAAAAGGAGGTGTGGCCATGAATCTTTTTTTTTCTGGGAGTGTGGTGCTTAACTTAGTTCTTGATTTTCCAATAATATAAATACATTTGTTTATATGGTTAAAATAGCTGCACTGATTCTAGAGTCTGGAAGTGTCCTTGAGATATTGCTCTTGATTTCAGTTGGAGAAAAAAAGACACTGCACTTTCTGTATCCATTTCAGAAAACAATTTTTTTGCCCAAGTGGTCTTTTACACTTGTGTTAATCATTTATCATCTCTTTCTTCTACCTTAGTAACCTTTCTTACAAGTGCCAGTACAGCACCTTCCTTGCAAAACAACTCTATATTTCATGATTTGAAACCAGACGAGATGGAACTCTTGTACTCAGCATATGGTGATGAAACTGGAATACAGTGTGCCTTAAGGTAAGCACTTCCTAATTAGAAAGTCTAACGTATCGTAGTAATTTTATGCAAAGTAATTTGGACTAAATGCCAACTAGGAGCGTTCAAATCCTGATATTTTATTCTAAAACTTATTTTTAAAATAAATCACTATAAAACTTGAAGCTAGCTTTCATCCTGGTTGGTGGGGTTTTTGTGCTGGTTTTTTGTTTTTTTGCTTTTGATTGTAGGTAGGGGGATGCATTTTTTTTTCCATTTGCCCTTTTAAATTATCCAGTTTTATTGCAAGGCTGTTATTAGGGTCTTCAACAACAGCATATTTCAGGTTGCTAAAGCTTTAGTGTTCTGCTTTACACCCATCATAAAATAAGTTTAAATAGGCAAGTAATAGATTTCAGTGGCTTTAAAACAGTGATATTTTTCACGAAGTTTCAAAAGAGTTAAAGTTACTTGAAAAGGAAAATACCACTTTTCATTAATTCTTAATCTTGGACCAAAAGAATTAGTGGCAAGCTTTTTTCTCTTTTTTGGGTTTTGTTTTTTAACTGACTATCAATGAGAGAAAAAAGAAAAAAACTCTGTCTTAATTGTTTTTCTGAAGAAGCATGGAAGAGTTAAAGAACAAAGAAAATATAGGTGTAATGTAGTGTTGTTGGGGAAAACCATATTTTGAGTTGAAATATTTTTTACAAAAATAAACATTTTCTGTAATGCTTATCTCCATTCCTGCTAGCTTACAAGAATTCGTGAAGGATGCTGGAAGTTACAGCAAGAAAATAGTGGATGATCTTCTGGACCAGATCACCAGTGGCGATCATTCCAAAACTATTTATCAGCTAAAGCAGGTGTGTTCTTGATGCACAGAAGTGTCACAAGTTCATCAGAGCAAGAATGAACCTGTTTGTTTTTCAATATTGTATGAAGTGCTTTGCTTTCCACTGTCAGTTTAAGCAGTTCAAGCTTAGCTGTTCAAGCAGCCATGCTGTGAACCAAATTACAGACTGAATTAATCAACAGAGGAGTAATTTTTTTTTCTTATCTCTGGCTCGATCAGTTCTCTGTGGTTCACTATATGGCTGCAGAAAGGAAGGGGCGGGGGCATGTGACATAGCAGGGTTCAACTGACTGAATAGTGTTTGGGCAGCCTTGTCACTCAATGCGATAACTTACGTACCTACTTCTGAGTTATATTGCTATGCTTTTGTTGAGGTTTTTGGTTTTTTTCTTAATTGAAATGCAAAATATACTTCTTGTGGAAGAATTAATTGTTTGGAACATGGAAGTAGTGTTGAAGAACAGATTAATATCACTGTACAGGTATCTTTTACCCAACAGTGCTAACTTTTAAATTCATATAGTATGTCTGAAGGAAGAACTTATTTACAAAAACACTTTCCTGATGGGATTCATACTAAGATTGCAGAAGAGATTTTTCTCAGAAATATGTATGATTCTAGTGGGAATGTTTGCATTCCCAAGACCAAATAGTCTAATAGAAATTGCATGTTATTTTCACTCTGAAAACCACTCTTAGTTTGAAATAATTGTCTGCTATTTAAAATGCTGACATTGTGAATGATTGAGGAATAAAAAAAGGGAGGCAGGATGGGAAGATGGAAGGTACTTAGATTTCCTGACATGGTGGAAATGAGATTATGCTAAATCTCTGCACACTTAGAAAGAGAATAAGGTGTGTGGTGTTTCGGGAAAAGGAGGCAATAGAATGAAAACCACAAGACAATCCTTCAGAATTTTCTGGCTATTTTTTACCAGGAAAAAGACTGTATATGAAACAGGAAGAAATGTAAAGGATTAGTTAAAAAAAGTTACAACCCTGTACTTTGAATACTCTCTACATATACAAATGTGTGTATACAACATAGTGAACTTAGCTTTACAAATGTGCCTTTTCCTTTTTGCCACCTTGTTCTATGACTGTGGTTCCATATGAGAATTTCTGAAGACCTTTCAAATGGTCAGTGGGTATTTAGACTTAGAAGTGCTGTTCAGTTGTGATATATGTCGATATACGCCGATTTCACATAATTAAATGTGTTTCAGTGATGATATGCCATGGTGTTTTATGCTTGAGCATTTTGTGCTGCTACATTTGAGTAAGAATTAATATCTCTAAAAGTACAACCTTAGATGATTTGTGATTCAGAAGTTGCTGAAGTAGTGACTAAGATACTGCTTTTGAATATAAAATTTGTGAACAGAGGAAATAGCTTAAGGGGACTCAAAGATTAGTTAAAATGCATAATGCTAAATTATTGCAGAACATTAACTATTACATTGTAATTGCATTGCAGATATGTGAAAAACTTAGCTGTCTCTAGCCTTCTTTTGTGCATGAATTTTGAAAATACTTGAAATTGTACAAGAAAGAGGTCTTTATTATATGTTGAATATAAGCAATTGTTAGTATTCTTTCTTTCCAGAGGCGAAACATCCCAGTAAAACCACTGGATGAAGTTAAGGTAAGTTATGCTGACATTCAGTCTGTTTGGTTTTTTTTTAAACTCGAAAAGGTGTTTGGGCATTTAAGGTAGAGAAAGTGATGTTCTTGGAGCTTCCAGCATTCAAGTTCTTGATTTTATGTAATGTGCACCTGTTCTGTATAGTAATGCAGAAAAAGATGGTAAGTGGAGTATAGGAGAAAGAGGAGGCTGTTAGGTTAGTCCTGAAGAGCCTGTCCTGGTTAGTTCTAAATTGTTTATATGAATGTATATGGTTGCCCTTAGAGAAGAGCTAGTCTTTTTTTTTTCATAAAGGTTCTACTCAAACATCACAAAATGTGATAGTGTTCTGCGGTGGCCCAGGATCTTCTTGTCCTAAACCAGTAAATTACACAAGCATTATTATAAAACATTTTTAGGAAATATAAGCATAAGCTATGAAATGCTAAGATCTAAAATACTCTTTTGTTCTTTAGGTTCTGCCAGTTCTTATAAAAGAAGAACACAAGTTGCATAATACCTGTCTGGATTCTTCCAAACAGATTATGGTAAGATGGTTGGAGAGGAACAAGAAAAAAAACAAACATAAAACCCCCCAAAAAAGTACTATTGAGACATTCATTTTGTTTCAGGGCAAGGATGTGCATAGTCTGAAGTATAATATTAGAATTATAGTATCTAGAATAATGTTTCAGTACTGAAAATTAATTCTTTGACAGTTAGTGGCTTTATTGTTCTGTATTCTCCAGTTTATTTCAGCATGTGTAATTAAATCCAATGCAGGAAGATCACTTAGGAAACTGAAAACGATACTTGATCTGCTGATGAATATTTGAGATTCAACCTGCTGTAAAATTGTAAAAAATCGTTAGTATAGATGAGTTTTACCACATGCATTGAAAATGTCGTAGAAAGCATGGGTAAAAAATGCATATCTTTTATGCTTTCACAGCTACTAATCAAATCTTTCTTTAAGTGGTGCGGGTTTTATCTTTCAATGTATTTGTGACAACAGAACTAATGCATTGCATTCCATGCCAATTCACATAAAAATTATATGGATTACAATATAGCAACTAATAAAATTTTATAGTTTTATAAGTATTCATTATGTTTTGTGAAAAGTCATCTTTGTCTAGAAGGTGACTGGTTAAATTAATTCATTAAAGTGCTAAGTTTCATATTTCTAAAAGATAATACCTGGTCATGTGTTTACCTGAGTGTCTTATTTCTCCTGCTGGAATAGGCATCCTCATAGACTTCTGTTAGAATAGGTTTCGAAGCTTAGTGACTTTTACTTTGATTTCTGACTTCGTGCCATTACATTAGCAGTATGGCAACAGGTGTGGAAAGAAATGAAATTGTTGTAGTGCAGGCTGTATGTCATTATGCACATGTATAGAAGAAATACTAGAGAGGCCAGTTCCAGCTGATACCTTGTATAGGAAGGCCCACCATACTAAAAATATCAATAAATCCAGTGTTCATGCATTGAGGAGATGAGGGAAAAGGGGATCTGGGAGTGGTTCATGATAGGGACACCTACTAGGGTTCTTCTGTGAGACATGAAGGAGTTGAGTGTGTAATTGAGTTTCAGCAGTTCTGGATATCAGATAAAAGATACTTAGATTACTGTGCACATCCCTTGCCATTCATACGACTGGTCTGTCCTGGAACCATGTTTGAAGTGTCTGTGAATTTCAGGTTGGCCAAGATGGTTATGGATGCCCCAGTCTCAAGCGTTGTGATGCACACTTTTGAGGGAATGGATTTTGCATTTATCTTAAACATTAGGAAGTTATTATGACAGCTTGTCATTATGGCTAGTCTTTCTATTTCTTGTGTTTTAATAGGTTGGAGAATCTGCTGGAGACAGTAACTCTTCTGACTTAGATTTTCTCTCTATGAAACCATATTCAGATGTATCTCTTGATATTTCTATGTTAAGTTCGTTAGGTAAGTAATTAAATATACAGGACATCAATTATGGTTTAGTTGTACCACAGACAAAATGACAGCTGGATTTGCTGTCAAACACACATAAAAAAGTGTTCAAAAAGTAGTATCAAGTCTACTTTGACATAAGTAAAAGTCTAGGGCTGGTACAAGATAAATGAACCTTGCTCTGTTTCTCCTTTGAGACATCCATGTGCTATCCAAGCTAACTTTTCTTGTACAACTGAAGAAATACAATTTTGATAGCTTTGCTTGTATTTTGTGTTCATAGTAACATAAATTTTAAGAATCAGTGTGGAGCTTTAGCTCAGAAATGATGTTATTTCGTATGATGTCTTTTGAAATAACTTGGGAATTAGGTAAGTATGTGAAGGGCGATCATATCACCACTTGGAATATCCCAGAACAAAAATCATAAGAAACTTCAGGTGCTGGAAAGACTTTATCCTCAGATAAGGCAGTTGTGTAAAAGTATTATGATGCTGTTTCAGATACATGCCTTTGATAGGTATCTTTTAAATGCTAGAAGTACTGTTGCCATTTCTGCAGGCTGCTGAGCTGGTCAAATGCCTTCACAAGTGTCATCCAAGCTAACAACCTGCTTATGTTTTAAGATACTTTTAATTCAGAATGTGAAAGAGGCCAAACTATCTATTATAAAACATAAGGTAATGAAAGACTTAAAGGAAAAGAAGATTTCCACAGATTTCATAGAATCATAGAATTATAGAATTAACCAAGTTGGAAAAGACCTCTGAGATCATCAAGTCCAACCCTTGATCCAACACCGCCATGGTTGCTAGACCATGGCACTAAGTGCCATGTCCAGTTACATCTTAAAAACCTCCAGGGACAGTGAATCCACCGCCTCCCTGGGCAGCCCATTCCAATGTCTGATTACTCTCCCTGGAAAAAATTTCTTCCTAATATCCAACCTAAGCCTCCCCAGCACAGTTTTAGACTGTGCCCTCTTGTCCTACTGCTGGTTGCCTGGGAGAAGAGACCAACCCCCACCTGGCTACAACCTCCTTTCAGGGAGTTGTAGAGAGTGATGAGGTCTCCCCTGAGCCTCCTCTTCTCCAGGCTGAACAACCCCAGCTCCCTCAGCCTCTCCTCATAGGACTTGTGCTTGAGTCCCTTCACCAGCCTTGTTGCTCTTCTCTGGACCTGCTCCAGCACCTCAATGTCCTTCCTGAACTGAGGGGCCCAGAACTGGACACAGCACTCCAGGTGTGGCCTCACCAGAGCTGAGTACAGGGGAAGAATCACTTCCTTGGACCTGCTGGCCACGCTGTTCCTGATCGAGGCCAGGATGCCATTGGCCTTCTTGGCCACCTGGGCACACTGCTGGCTCATGTTCAGCTTCCTGTCAATCCAAACTCCCAGGTCCCTTTCTGCCTGGCTGCTCTCCAGCCACTCTGTGCCCAGCCTGTAGCGCTGCATGGGGTTGTTGTGGCCAAAGTGCAGGACCCGGCACTTGGCCTTGTTGAACCTCATCTGATTCATCTTGGAATCAGATCATCTCTCCAGCTAGTCCAGGTCCCTCTGAAGAGTCCTCCTGCCCTCCAGCAGGATTTCTGACAAAGATGCATTTTGAAAAGCAATTATAAGCTCTGATTATCCTGTCACACTCTAATTTTATTTAGTTCAGTAAAAAACGAATATCCATTTTATAGATAATGTTTAGACATATCAAACTTACTGTGAATTTCTTGTGCCACTGAAAACTGCTTATGTTTTCTTCTTTGAACTAGAAGTAAATAATCATACTGCCAGATTAGTTGGCTTCCAGAGAGAGTTTATGGCATTACTTATGATAATTCTTGAAAAGTTAGCAAGAATTGCATCAAAGAAAACAAAGGGAAAGAGTTTATTTTCCTGTTTTAAGTTGAGTGAATTATTTTTAGGTCTTCAGATGAAAGAATAGCATATATTGGCACATATTTCCAGTTCTTTCCAATTTCAGGTGTTTTTGGCTTATTATAAAATCACGGTAACTGGAGAAGATACTGTTCTTCTGTGATGGAGATTTCTTTGCCTCTGTAAATTACATGTCCTATTTTAACTGTATTTTAAATTAGATATTTAAGTGATCTTTCTGCTGACTTCTTTGCTGCAAACTAAATGCATTATTTAGAGTGAAGGTAGTGAGGCACTGGAACAGGTTGCCCAGAGAAGCTGTGGATGCCCCATCTCTTGGAAGTGTTCAAGGCCAGGTTGGATGGAGCTTTGAGCAGCCTGGTTTAGTAAAAGGTGTCCCTGCCCCTGGCAGCAGGGTTGGAACTAGATGATCTTTAAGGTCCTTTCCAAAGCAAATTATCCTATGATTTCATATCTGGAGTTTAAAAGATAAGGAAGAAAAGTTAAGCTCTTACAGCTGTTTAAATTGTGGGCATTTCAGTTCAGTTCAGTCAGTTCAGATTCAGCCATTTCCTGTGGCGCTTTCCTTCATCTTCCAATATCACACAGATCTGCAGCTGTTGCTTTTTAGAAGTGCGAAGGAAAATGCAAGATTGAGGTCATTTGTGTAATAGACAATACTTGATTTATTTTAGAATTTTTTTATAAGACTTGGTAATTCATGAGTCAATGTACATATGCTAATTATGGATTTTGGTTGGTAACTGGTGGCTCTTAGGAAAAGTGAAGAAGGAGCTTGACCATGACGATAATCATTTACATCTGGATGAAACAACTAAGCTGCTGCAGGACCTTCATGAAGCTCAGGCTGACAGAGTGGGATCCCGGCCTTCATCCAATTTGAGTTCCCTCTCCAATACCTCTGAAAGAGATCAACATCATCTTGGTAAAGTTAGCTGTGTCACAGAAGTTGCAGTACTTGTGTTCCAATAGAAATTCATTTAAACTTACATTTTAATTTACATGAATCTTTGTGTGAAACTACACTGATAGAACAGTGTACTGACTGCAGGATCATGTTTTAATTTTTAAATATGTATGGCAAAGACAACTAAGAAGACATACTTTTGACCTCTGGAATTCAGGGCACTAATTGTAGTTACTTATTTTTTGAGTAGGTGTGATTGAAGGAATCGTGAAGTAAATCGATACTGACTGGCAAATCCCTATAAGGACTTGCATTTAATGCCTTTAGAAATATAAGGAGTATATAATGTTTATTTTGCTTCAGCGTAGTTGCAGCAACTACTACAAAGCATTCCACTGTTAACTGTAAAATTCGGTGATAAACTGCGTAACAATTTGGTGTCATTCTGAGAAGGTAGGAGATGTTGGTTGGATGATACTCAGTTGCATTTTGTATAATTTTTCAACTCAGAGTAATATGACTACTTTTCTAATTACTAAATTAGCAATTAGCTAAATTACTAAGAATCTTGTGGTTTCTTTTTCATAATCTCCTATTTAAATATAATTTAAAAGTATAAACTGAGAATGTGAAATAACCATGCTGTTTATATACATAACTATCTCTTCATTATGTTTCTGTACTTCTAAAAGTTTTGATTTTTTTTTCCCCATGTTCTACAGGAAGCCCCTCTCATCTGAGTGTTGGAGAACAGCAAGACATGGTTCATGATCCCTATGAATTTCTTCAGTCTCCAGAAACCTCAAATGCCACTAGTAACTAATCTGACATGTACTATATATATTTTGTATTTTAATTGTATTATGTTTTTATAAAGTTTTTGTCCATGACAGAAACCGTAATTTTGTCCTCTTTTCTATGAGGATTCCTGTATAATATTATTGTATATGCAGGATTAAACAGGCAAAGAAAAAAAAAAAGAAAAAAAAAATAAGAAAAAAAACCCTACTTAGTGCATTGTGTTGTTAGCAATGTACCAAGAACTGCTTTCAATTTGTGTATTAAGGGAGGTTGTTGTCTACTGGTGTGTGAATCTTGACTGAAAAACAACAAATAATGTGTTAGAAAAATTCATATTTTATAGAAACTAAAAAGTGATAATTTTCCCAGAATCATGGCAGGAGTCATTAAATATTTCTAATATGTTTAATCTGGGGTTCTCTGGTGGTCTAGTGGTTAGGATGCGGCGCTCTCACCGCCACGGCCCGGGTTCGATTCCCGGTCAGGGACCCTGGGCAGATGGAGCTCGTCAGCCCTGTAAGGCCATCCATCTAGGAGAAGGTCACTCTAAACAAACCTACGTCCTGAGGACCTCACTGCCACCGTCCGAGCTTGCTCGGCCCCGGCAGATGAACCTCAGGATTAAAGGGTGGGCTCAGTTCAGCGCACACTGTGTCTCACCTAAAAAATCCACTGCGCAGGCTTGAAGGGTAATGACCTTTCCCAAATCTTCGCTCGCAAAGACTGGCCATGATATTTAATCTACTAGTTCTGTTGAGATCTTAATCTGAACATATCCAAAGAGAAACAAAGAACTACTGCAATTGGGATCATTATTGTTTCCCACCTCCTAATGCTAATAATCTGCAGAAGTTGTTTTTAAGCATTTCCCCATATTTTTAAATCTGTTTTTTAATCACTCTAGAGAATACTTAATTTGAGAGTAATGGTACTTTGTAGTTGCAGTAAAATGCTCACTACAAGACTTCTACCCTGGATCTGAAAAAGATGGGTGTTTTTGTGATCCCTTGTATCTTGCAACACCAAGAAAATACAATATGTGTATTTTTTAATATGACATGTATATCTAAGTGAATGGAAAAAATACTGAATAAGGTGTGCTTTTCAGTAATTTCAAAATAAAACTTTTATAACACACTAGGATAATGCATCAGTAGCGAAACTGAGGGATTTTGTACTCTTGCTATGTGCAAGCAGACAAATGTTATGAATTTACCATATTTTGTAAATATTAATAAAAATAGAAAAGCAGTTTTGATGTTTGCAAATATCTTGTTCTTTCCAGGAGAAAATTTGTTTCCTTTACTAAGTCTGAAATAGTAGGAGTTTGGGGTCTGAATTTATATGCTTCTTCAAAAGATAAATTTCATCATGCCGCATGTAGCTATAAACAAAAAAAAAACTTGTGAATTTTTAGGAACCATCAAGGAAGTCTGTCAGATAACTGATGGCAAAGTTTTGATAAAGTCTAAATAGGGAGATTTGTTAATTCAAAGTAGATATGCTAAAGAAAGCATACAGCTACGTTTTTCTGTTGGTAGTTGCTAGGAACGTGTGTGGCAATGTGTTTGGGCTGCTCTGCTGCTCTTACATTCTGATTTATCATGACCAGGGGTTCTTGGAAATAACATGTATGATCTGCTGCACTATGACAGTGTTGACTGTTGGAAGGTGTTTGCATGGACACACAGCCTTGTTTCGGTCTGTAGCTCCCTAAAATAATTTTAATTGAAAAATGTCTTTAAAGCTAATATGGTCTTGATCTCAAATAGGTTTCATTTCTCATACAGTAAATATAAATTGATTCCTGTAATATACTCTAAGTAATAGTTGCAGTTGGTGAGGAAATCTTTATTGAAACACTTGCTGTTGAATTGCCTGCCTGAGCTTTTGGATAAAATTCCACAGTAGAACGTTCAAAATACTCCTCTAGAGGAATGTGCTGGTTTGTTTTGGGTTTTGTTTAAACTTCAGTGTTTACTAATGAAATCTGAAGTAACATGCAGTATCTTATTTGATATTTTCATCTTGGATTTCAGACAGAATACATTCAAGCTTTATGAAACTCTGTAAAACAGCCTTTATGGGCTCCATGAGTTAGTTGTATCAAAGGCTGTATGTTGTTTGTATCATTACCATACCAGAAAGCACTTTGTGCCTGAGGAAGGTTTGCTTATTTATTCATCCTATCTGACCCTTAAGCAATGTCAGTTATTTACAGCACTATGCACTCCAACTGCAGTTCTACAGGTGCTGGACAATCCTCTCAATAGGCCTACTGCCTGTATTCCCCAGGAAAAAAATGCTTTTAGGGCAAAACTTCTTCCCAGAGGCAAATATAAATGTTTTTGCTATGGTGTCTTCTCCCAAATGGCAGACATTGACTTGTAACCTGTTTGCTGAATGTACTGATACACATGACTGGGCTCACTAAGTGCCTCAAGAAAAGCTTTTGTTTTTCTTCCAAAAATCTCTTTCTCATATATTTTATGGAAAGATTAGACTCTTGAGTTTGCAGCCTCTGGTAAAACTTTAAAACTTGAGCTTTTTTTTTTTTTTTTAAGTGGTTGAAGTAACTTCTTTCAGGCACATATTTGTAATAGTGCATTTTTCCTGATTCTCAAGCTAAAAGAATCTCTTTCTCCTCTTCATTGTTTGTGTATGTGCCTATGCTTGTGCCAGGGTAATGCTGCTGCATTTTCAAAATTATTCTATTTTATTTCAAAAAAAGCCTTAGGATGCAATCTTGCCAGTCCTTTTCCTACTTATTTGAAAGGGGAAAAAAATCCTAAGCCGTGTCTCATTTGCTCTTGTCTATGCAGGCTGTAAGTTCTTACTAAAATACATTGAAAAGCTTGGAAATAACCAGTTAAGGCCTGTAATCTTATGGTCCTAGCTAAACATTAAGAATTTGAAAAGTTTTACTTCTGTGGGTTTATTTAATGTATGTCATTATTTAATTCCATATACACTAGAAAGGGATGGTGTTTATCTGGTAGGTATTTCCTGTTTAGCTCATTTGGAAGAGGACTGCGTGTCTGTGGCAACACATATAAATCTGTAATACGTAACATTATCTAGCTAGGTGGCACCATATGTCAACACACTTTGTGAGTTCCCATTAGTTTGAATATTGTTGCTGCCATTGAAATAGAGTCGAATTTCCCAGGGTGTTTTGTAAAACCACCCCGGAGTTTCTATAAAAAATTGAGAAAACAAATGGCATTTGTTCTAAATGCACTGAAAGATTTCAAGGAAACACTGAAGACTGATCTGCAATTTATTTTTTTCCTCTAATACTGCTGTATCAAAACCTGTGTTTCAGGTAAGAGACATCTCCTTACTTCCGTTCTTCCACAGGATAGAAATACATCAATGAAAATGAAGTATGGTCCAAATAACTGTGATTAATTTTTTACTTTTTTGGATATCTCATCAATCTCATGTTTTAGCAAAACCATCTTCAGTGGCAGCGAAGGGAATGTTGAGACTGTATTGCACACATTTCAAACATCTTTGTAAACAAGGATTCAGCATGAAACAACTTTCTTCCACTGTCTGAGATACACAAGTATAGGGACAGAATTTGCATGAAAATATTAGGGAAAAAATAATAGTAAATCTTTCTAATGTGTCTCCCTTGCTCTTTATTTAAAAAAAAAAAAAAAAAGCACCAAGGTATTTTTACAGTCATGTACTTCTTTTGCTTTCTGGCAGATGAATTGCTATGATGAGAGATTAATGCAGACAAGACCTGAACAGCTGACCAACAGAAATAACCTGATGTCTCCACCCCTACATTCCAGAGTGAATGGTTGGTCCTCACCATGCCACTCCTTTTTGTATTTGTTGCTTTACTGCTTTTTATCTACCTGGCTACCACAGGATTTGGAGTCTACACACCATTACTTCCACAGGGATGGAAACATGCTGTTTTTTCTGGTTTGTTTTTCTTTTCTAACCTTCTACCATCCTTCTTGAATTTTGTTTTACTATAAATGCTAATCTGTTTCCAATTAAGGGGAGGGGACAAAAAACCCACCCGCCTCACTAATTATGCTACCAGTGAGAGCCAGGGCATTTCCAAAGGGATGACATTTATTCCCAGTGATTTAACCCCCCAGTTGAATGTTGCGGACCTCAGTTGAAGTAGATTATTTGGGTTTATATTGGTTCCCATCTTGCAGGAAGGCATGTATGTATGTAACTCGGTGTTTGTAAATATTAATTAGGTTTTGAAAGATCCTTTAACTTAGGTGGTGACTGGAAGAAAAGGGGCAGGGGGCAGGAGATGGAGAAGAGCCACAGTTGTTTGGAAGTAGGAGGCAATGCAGTTGAATGATTTTTTCCTAGACTGATCAAAAATTACTATAAATCACAGAAAATATCCTCCTACAGAGAAATGTCGGTATGTCTTTGAACTAGTAAAACAGACTTTTTTGGGGTCTTTTTCTTTTTTAAATCACAAGTCCTTTGGATACTGAAAAAACTAATATACTATAGAAAGAAAGTACATCTTTTCATGAATTTAAAAGTATTCTTCACTGTGCCCACCTCCACTATGTATTCTGTACCCCAGCTCACAGTGCAGGGAAGAAACAAATTCTAAGCAGCTGTTGTCCCATCAGATGACTGCAGGTGAGGAGTTGTTATCCTCACCGGAAAGCTGCAAGGAGACAGGGCAGAATGATGTTGCTCTTCCACATACTGGATAAAGGAAACAAATACACAAAACCAAACTCCATGCAATCTCCATGACTGCCTGTGATGGTCCAGGTATCTCTACTCATGAATGTTGGTGTATCCTACAGTGTTACCATAAATGTTGGGATATCCTACAATGGTACCATAAACTGGTTATTCTGGGCTGCCATTATGTGCTTGGAGTGCAATTGGTGCTGCTTTGCAGGAGTAACGTGTGACAGTGCAGGTGTGCTGCCATTGTCACTAGGGATTTATTCGTGGGAACAGAAGACTGGATGTAACATTATTTATGCTTAATACTTTGGCTTATGAAGGATTTGAACGGATGCTATTTTTGCAAGGAAAGACCCCTCAGAAGCAGCTCTGTGAAAAGCAGAAAGCCCATCACTCTATTTGCCTATGGCACTCTCAGTCCATCATTGCAGGATTAAAAACTGGTGAGTCTGTTGTGGAATTATGAACTAACACTAATTTTGTTTTTAGAAGGGTCAGCTTGGATAAGATGAAACACCTTGTTTTATGTTAGGTTTGCTTGTTCTTTGGCAATTCAGTATATTACAGAGCACAGTCTGGAGTTCTACATTATACCCAAACAAGACTCTTTTGCTTTTATATGGAAGAAGGAGAAAGTTTAGCAGCATAATGAGAAAGAAAACACTGATAGGCAGTGTTTCATTCACTTTTTTATGTACAAAACATTGATTGTTGCTAGGAAATGGTAGGGTGTCAATGGAGCACTCTCATGACAGCACTG